GCCAACCGGCAAGATTTCACGACCAAAGAGGAAGACAGCGCATTAGATATGCTAACCCATCGGGCTTGTTGATAAGCCTCGAATATTTTCCTGTCACAAGCGCGGTTTCGTGTTTTTTGTTTTTTTATGTTAGCTGGCCATAAAACGAGCAGTTCCGGAAACTCGCTTGAGCGATGCTGGAAGCCAGGGCTACGCATGGGATGTGTCAAATGGCGGTGTGGGTACGACCCCCCCCCTCGAAGAGGGTCCAGATACGACCCCCCCCTCCTGCTCTAACTGACAACCAGATGCATGTTCACCACAAATGGCTTCCTGAAATGGAATCTGGATTCTCGAAAGGCGCACTCTGCTCTAAAATACAGGAAATAAAGGCTGTTTCAGCCTCATGCAATATGAGGCTGAACAACAGCCTCGCATTACCTACAATTTTGTCTTAGGATTCAAAATAAAACTCCTCGTTCGATAACTATGTATGACATGCAACTTGTAAAAGAAACACAATTGAAATAGCGGCTAATGGTGATCATTGATAGGCTGAATTGGTGAAAAAAATAGCCCAAGCGTAGCGTGTCAGGGCCCAGATGTGCATTCAATGAATGGTGACGGGGAAATAATGAAAACATGCACGACACAACAAAGCGAAACATGGAAAATACAAAAAATGCAGAGCTAAATGAAAAAGGATAACCAGGCCGGCAGTAAATCGTTCCATACTTGGCTATTATCGATCAGGCTGCAGGGCGCAAGGCTGCGACCGCTTTCTTTGGAAAAACGTCATTGGAGCGCGGTTGTTGGACTTGCCAACGTCCTGGGTCTGTTCGGGGGTATATCTTTTTTAGGTGCGGAGCTTTTGAGGAATGGTGAGCAGCATGCAACGGCAAAGTTTCTACTATTGTGTATTCTACCTAGTTGCAAACTGAACAATCCCCCGTTGGTGAAATATTCCGGATGGGTTTTGGATAGGCTAGGGGTAAATCGCGAGCTGGTTTCCATGATTCACACAAGGACTGCTTCGTTCAACGCAATTTCATCAGGACTGAAGTCGTCTTGAAACCCCTCCATCTTTTCTCTTTCCAATAAGCTTTACAGTTTTTCTGAAGACCCACTAGTTCAGGAGATATTTTAGATGGGTCACTAGAGTGCCGCCACCCTTCTGCCCACCGAACAAATTGACTCCTTATGTGCACATTTGTGAGGATACACTTCGAAAACTTCAGTGATGCCTCTCAGCAACACATTATTTCCCCTTCAATGAAGCGAAGAGGAGCTCGCGCCTATCTCTGAATTGATTTGTCCGTGCGCCGCGACGTGCATTAGGCTCCTACGCAAAGTGTGTGGGAAAGGTGTAAATTCTAATTTCAGGTGCTTTTATCCATGCAAGCAGATGTTTGTTTAGGGTTTGTAAAGGACAACACGCACGAATCTGTTTGAGACGTATTATTTAGTCATCTACGTACTTACGAGTTCATGCTATAAACTGACATTTATTTATTTATTATAGTATTCTATGCGTAATATTGCCTAATACAAAAATAATAAATGCTTTGCTTTTTATATGTTGCTATTCCTTTTAAATGCCGGGTCTTTGAAGCTTCCGTCCGTTCCATTACCCTTAGCAATGACACCTTTGTACTGTTTGATGCCTAGCGAGCCTACTTTTGCGATACTCCCCACGTCCCCCGCGGCCAAGTACGAACCCATTCTTGGGGATTTCCCATGAAAAGAGGGCTGTTAAACGTAGCATTTAAAGCTGTAAAGAATACACTCATAATAAACTTCATTTTTTTAAACATCTTGACTTCCATAGCTCCACTCCCACTATCAACTGAAATGTCGAACCATTGCTCGGCTCTGAGATCGACTCTTTGTAGATTCACGACCCCCCCCCCTCCAATTCTGTCACAGAGGTACGACCCCCCCCATTGATTTGGCACAACGCATGCCTACCCTGGCTGGACAGGATCCTTACGTGTTTCTCCATTATCTTTGCATTTTTTTCCTCTGGAGAGTCACTTAGCTCGAGCGTTTGTAATTTGGACGCCACTACCCACAAATGCAAATCGCGGATTTTGTCTTTAAAGGAGTTGGCACGATTAAACTCTAAGAAGGTAGAGCTGATACCGCCTTTCGATAGAACTTCCGCGCACCTAAGCAGGTGCTGAGCGTAGGCGCCCTTGTCTTAGGAGGTGGCAGGCAGTCGCCAGAAGGGCCTATCGAATATTACGACGCCGAGCGCCACCACGCTGCCCGCCAAATGGACGACCGTACCTGACACTGGTATTGATTTATTTGCGAAGTAAAATATGAAGCAAAGAAATTGGTATGAAGCGGCTGCGGTGCTGCATGCCGAGTATATGGCGAACATACATGCAGGCCCGTGCCACCGTTCGCGGTTAATTGGCAATACGCCCACCCGAAAAAACTCGGTCCAGATAGGTCGTGCCTTCTTTAAGACACATGCGTCAGCGTTCATACACATTGAGGGTGTATGAGACTATCAGCCCCCCAGCTGTCGATGTGTCGTGGTCCCCCCCAAACATGCCCAGGAATGGAGATACAGGGCCGTGAAACACGCTAATTCCTCCATGCTCCGCCTTACACCTTTTTGCGGCGCAGATTCCCGTCCTTCATAACATCCGTCGTAAGCGCGCGTGTCGCGTGCGGCTCCTTGCGCACTTTCAGTCCAAAGTCCTCTTGATTGCGCTCTCAAATACCGAGTAAAACGCAATTTCCTGAATGGCGGCTGTAATAATGGAGTGTACAAAATTAAGAAATCAGAAGATGAATGACAAGGGCAGAACTCAGAAGCAACTCGGCCTGGCATTCCCGCAGAATCCATCATTCCAGAAAACATGAGAATAAAAACAATCCAAGCGTCCCACTCGTTTATTCTAAGTATTTCTATGGCTTTGGCGCCGGATTCGCGCCGGATCGTAGAAATTTACAGGCGATTTCAACTAATTTGCCTTTCCTTGATTTTTTCATTTTTTGTTTTATTTACATTTACATCGTTGTGCTTCATTTCTAGCCTGTGTCATCTTCATCTCCTTGTACATGATTTTGAAGTATGAGCAACACCTAAAATTTTATTCGCATCAGGAAATTGCGTTTTGCTTGTATCAAACTAACGAGTATGCCGTTTTATTTTCATGTTTCGTGGAAATACGCGGCCTCCGAGGGATGTTGCAGAAGTGACACAGTTGCTTTAAGTTCTGGCCCTCGTCATCATCTTCTGTTCTTATTTTGTAGCACCTCCAATGTTATCCGCATCAGGAAATTGCGTTTTACTCGTATTTGAGAGCGCAATTAAAGGACTTGGCAAAGTGCCAAGGAGCCGCACGCGACAGGCGCGCTTACGACGGATGTTATGAACGGCGGGAATCTGCGCCGTAAAAAGGCAGTGGGCGGACAGCATGAGGAACATTAGCGTGTTCAAGCCGCTGTACTCCGAATTCCCGGGATGTTTGGCGGCGGGGACCCGACACAGACTCGACAAATCTGGGTGGCTGATAGTCTCACACACCCTCAATAAGTGATGAGAGTACTGTGTGTCCTTGGTAGAAAACGAGTAATACGAAGGATATAATACAGTAATGTCACTTGCCCGCTTCAACAACTGGTGCAGAACGACTTTGGCACCGCGCCAAACGCAGCCGCACTGACACGCCCCACCGGTCCGCAATGATGAGGACTGTATGGGAACATACATGCAGCCGTACACCGTAGCGGTTATTGGCAATACGCCTACGGGAAACTCGTCCAAAATTGCTTCTAAGAACGAAGGCTTTTCTTCGCAGTTTTTGACCGTTTCACTTCGTTTTTTCGCCATTTTCCCACTATATGGCGCCCTGCTAGCATTTTAGGCCAATTAACAAAATATCGTGCCAATTGCCTTTAACTATTCGATGGTAAAACAGCTCAATTGAGTCCACGGCAATCGCCGTAGTATAATAGAAGGGAGGACATGAACGATTTTAGCGATAAATGATGCTTTATTCATGTTCAACTAATATTAGTCTAGACTTGTTTATTCAAAACAGTATGTACACCATATATGGCCAAAATACACGTTTCTGGGAGGTGTAAACTACTAATGCCTACTACAAAACGCACATGACAAAACATGGGGATGATTGAGGCCATTCGACACAGATTCTAGCGTCAAAAATAGAACAGAAAATAGCGTACGACCCGCAGTGGGTCTAGAGCGTAAAACAACCTTGGCAAATATCCACGAAAAATATAGCACCGAGCGCTTTGTCTTCACTAGCTAACTAATTCAATTAGTAATTATGTATATCTCATGAATTACGAGCAAAACTGATGGTACAAGAAACAATAAATAACAATCGTGATCTTCTTACGCCTACTGTGGCTGATGGGGGCCACGCCGCGGCGCGACAAAGTCTGCTCGCCTGTGCCCTCGTGAGACTGAGCTTGGAGAGAAGGGATACCCTCGCCACGCTGACGCACAGCCCCCACCAACTACTGTAACGCCCTTCTTAGCCCTAGTTCGCTGAGTAAAAAAAGCACATGTAAAATTACTGCATGTAGAGTAATCGCTTAATGACTAGGCTAGCTGGGATTGTTCGCTGAACTTCTACTATGACGTACGTCGGATGAGTTTAGAAAGATGTTGCTCGGAAAGTAAAGGAGCATTGTAGATTTGAAATCACAGCGAGTTCATGAGCGAAGAGAAACAGAAGTCAATCAATATTCAAATAATTAAACGATATCACCCGAATTTCGAACAAAAGACTGTAGACTTCAATGATAAAACGTGGCAAGAGACAGCACTAGACAGTGTGAACTGTGAGAATTATGCACATAGAGAAATATATGGGAAATTGGAATGAGCGCATAATAGATAATTAAAAAGAACAGATAATGACTAGATAAAATATGGATTAGAAAATACAAAAATGTTATACATTGCAAGCTGATTTGCTGATAGATATTTTTCAGGATATGCAGTATTTCCGGGACGACCTGACAAAATGCTATCGAGAAGACCTGATGTAATCGATTACAGCCTGATAGCAGAACGCGTAGTGCTCCTGAAAAAAAATGAGAATAGCTCAGGTTCCTTCTTTGTTTTTCTCAAAAAAAAACTTCACTCGAGTTCAGTGTGCATACAGTAATCCTCTACTTCGATACACTCTAGTTCGCTGCAGACGGTTGGGCGTGTCAGGCAGTATGAGTGTGTCACCCCGTCAAAGCCGTTCTCTGCCTTCTTGTTGAAGCGCGCATGCGACAAAAAGTGGTAGAAAACGAGTAATACGAACGATATGATACAGTCATATCACTTGCTCGCTTTAACAACTGGTGGAGAACGGGTTTGGCACCGGGCCAAACTCATCCTGATTGACACGCCCAACCGTCCGCAGCTAACTACACTATAACTATTTCGGCTAGTTGGAATATTTCCGCACTATGTGATCGTCATTCAACGAAACAGCATGCCAGGAGTTCCCCGCTGAAGGATGCCAGAGGCCACTGAAAACCATCCCGTACGTTGACGACCTTGCACTAGCGGATAGAAGAGAAGAATCTCAGGGCAGGATGCAAAGGTGGCACAAGGATGGACTATGACTGAACGCAAGGGCTCCGCACGCACCGTACACCGCCACGGTGGAAGCATTGAAAGAGTCGCGCTTCCAGTGCATGGGCAGTGATATTACAGCAGACTGCAGTGGACCACGCGGTGAAGGCAAGAATTAGTGCAGCGTGGATGAAGTGGAGGTAGCACACACATCCTCCGCCACTGGCGATGCTCGAGAACGCTTAAGGGCAGGTGCAACGGGCAGTGGGAAGGTCTACAATACCCGCAGAGAAGGCTGGCCCACATGCAAGGACCATGAAAGGCAGAAATGAGGATGCTGAGATGTGCCTGCGGCTGGACACGACTAAAAGGATTCAGAAATGAGGACGTCAGAGCGGTTACTGTAAGACCTTTTTGATGTCCTTTCATCTTGTCTTTAAGGATCCTCGGTTTCTAGCGCTGTACTTCGAAGTCCAATGCTGTCCTTAATGGGTGGTCCACAGGCCTCCTAACTTACTCGCCTCACTTCGACCCAACTGAAGTCACGAGAGCTGCGACCCATATCATCGCAGTCGCAGCTCTCGTGCCTTCAGCTGGGTCGAAGCACAGAGGTGAATGCCACGGCAGAAGATGAGCTGGAACAAAGGAACTAGTGGCGACATCTAAGAACTGCGGACCCTGCGATGGCGCGGGACTAATGCTAGCGAGAATAAGAAGAGGTAGACAATGAGAATCATATCAAACAGTCAAATTCTGAGCATCACACCAAATATCCAAGTCCAATTAAAACCGTATTTCAACAAACGCTAGAATTCATTTGATATAAAAAAGTTCTGAAAAACATACCAATCTAGAGAAAACAAGCGGCCGTTGATTTTGGAGACCTTTCACCGTTTGGAAAACGTCTATTCGTTGCTCAGCTTTCAATCGCTCCAGTAGCAGTGAAATGCAGCAATAAACACCCGTCTCAGAAGATCCATTCCTTAATAAATGGTTTTCGGGCCGAATACTCCAAGAGATGTGCCTGATTGACAAGACAGAAGAAACATAACCGTAATACAAACCTGCAGTGCAACACAATAGGACCTGAATCAGGCAATCCACTTTGTCGTTCCAAAACTCGGCCAACAAGTGAAAGAAGAGGCTCTGAGGAAGTTGGCACAACATTTGATGACGGCCAAGCAGTGAAGGCAAATTGCACGACATTACGAGTACCCGTATCCTCCTGGAAGCCGATTACAATAAGAAATTTGAGGGGTTCTAATCATCTGAAAAACATCAATGAATCAATTAAGGACGCACCTTCATACGATAACTAAGCTTTCGTGCAATAAAGTACGGGAAATGTTCCTCGCCAGTCAGTTGAACGCTTACATTGTATGGCGACCTCTCGTAGACAACTGTACCGTGCAGTTCACTGGGCCAGTACTGAAGAAGGAAACAACTCAAGGCTACAACTACTCAGAAGGGAATTTCAATGAGTACCTTTTCAGAAGGGCTCCAATCTTCCTCGTTTGACAGCATAACCAATGTCGTTACATTTAATTCCGAGATCATTCGCCAGAAATCAAATACAGTATTCTCGCTCACAGGATCTTGAGCCAGAACGTATGGATAGAAATAGCCCTGAAATCTCAGGATTCGCTGTGGGTCTTTTTGAAATGAGTTTAAACGAGATCATTAGAAGAAGCAGTACCTTGAGCGAGCTAGCATTTATGTACGTAGTGTCCGCATATCCTATCGAAGCACGTAACACTATCCGATTTCGATCATATGGTACGGCCGAGTCAAAGCGGTTTTTCATTATGTTATCTTCTTTGGCGGCAAATGAGCACTTGGCTGGAGTTTCCAAGCTACGCTCCAATTTCTGCAACAGAACAAATGAGTTCTTTCTCTGAACCTGCGCCAATCTGCTTATAAAATCCTTTCAACGCACAAGGAAATACGAACATTTGAAAAAAAAATCGCGAACGAAGAAAAGAAATAAGAGGATATTAGGCAATCACCACCTTTCATTCCCCTCCCTTCGTGATTAGGCTAAATTTTTATCAAAGCTGGCGCGCTTCGCAGCTCCTCCTTGTAGTGTTTATTGTTTCATAAGAGTTGGCAGGTATTCTTCACCAGTTGACAGGTTCTGCGACGGAGCAGCCGGGGGGGGGGGACGAAATTACACTCTCATCACTGGCTTCACAAGATTTTACTAATCTCTACTTGATGGCTCAACACGACAATGGAAAGCAGCAAAGTGTGTAATGTCTACCACCCCCCCCCTGCCCTCCGTCGCCGAATCGCGCCAAAGTTTGCCAGCCGAACTAGATTTACTTGACAACGAAACTTGTCTCCAGCGAAAAAGTGTCAATAAACGCGATTTTCACATCCGTTTTGCGCACTTCTGGCTACCGGCTCTACATGCTTGCAGAGCTAGACTGTATGCTGAGTTATGGGCAAAAGTTTTGACCCCAGGCGGGACTTAAACCTGCACGCTAACGGTTCGGGCGAGGCGCTATCCGTTATACGTGACGGTCAGGATTTCCGCCCATAAAACAGCATTGTTGGGACAATTCGACGAATGAGCTCTTTTGGTTCAAGGAGCGAGATCACCCACAGGGACAAATCCCTTTCCCAATAAACGCGCAAGGACAAGTTTTGATAAACAGTCCAGCTTAGATCTCACAACATGGTGTCCCAGAGGGTAAGAAGTTCTCAGTAGATCTTAAGCACATTAAATGTAAGCTGCCAAGTGAAGAGTGACAATCTATAACTTACCCTGAACTCCGCTTCCATACCAGTAGCAGGTGCAGCATCGGATCGCACAACTAGCTTAGTAATGCCACTGAATGACGGAGCCCGATCCCTAAAGAATGCAATCATCGTTACAGTACACTAATGAGCTGATCGCTTATCCTACCTCATGCCTGGATCAATCAACGTCTGATAATGCTCTAAAAGCTGTTCGACGTCCATGTCCGTATGACCGAATAGATGCCATTCTGCCAACGCTTTATAAATGAACACATACTGTTCCTGGAAATAATGAGTTCATGAAGCTAATGTTCTTTCGCTGAGGTCTACTATAAACAAGGAAATCATGGACGATTACCTGCGACTGAACCATAAGGTTGCGCTGTTTCCGCAGTTCGGACACACAATCAAAAATGTCGACCTTGCCTTCTGCGGCGCATTGATCTAGCATGCTATCGATGGCAATGAACGTTCCTGTTCGCCCGACACCAGCGCTAAAACAACAACTTTGCCCCACAAACTGAAGATATTCGTGACAGAAGAACTGGTAAAATATGAGTAAAATTGACCTGCAATGGATCACGACTGGGTAGTCTTCAAACTCTGGCAATGCACGGAGGCGGTGTAGGAAACGCAACAAGCCCGTGGAACATTCTGGAGCCTTGTAATCGTTCCAGTTGGTGAAATGGTATTGCACAACCCGACGAGCTGAAGGCAAAGGCTTAATCGAGTGAACATACCACAAAATCAGGTGTTTAGAAGCAGTTAACAGAACTAGAGTTGCGAGAAGTAATATAAAGACAAACTGTACACTCTGGTCTAATTGCAGCGAGAGGGAAGGGTCGACAGGCTGCAATAGCCGCCGCACATCTTTTTCCAGTCAAGAAAATGCACAGGCATGAGGCTGGAGGTAACAGCACCTTGTGCGTTCTCAGTACTCTAGCCGGCGCTTTTCGCACGGCCAGCGAACGCCTTACCATGGCCAAACGCCCTACTCGTCCGCTCCTTCCTACTTCAAGTTATTCTCTGTTGCCGAGTACGGGCTTCGCTGCTATCCTAGTACCGCCGCAAGCGCTGAGCATTGAGGATAGCGGGGGCTGAGTATAGAGATAACACCGGCACACGCCCATCCTCCACCCCTGTTCTCGGGCAATTTCGGGCGCAGAAAGTGGCACGCCTCTGCCGCCTGTGGTTAAAAAGACCTGACCCAATCACCTCGTACATGAAAAGTACCATATTAGGAAGTGAAAGTACAGCCTGCCTTTGATGGAATTTCATCGAAATATAAAACGAACCATTCCCAGATCCAACAAATGAGGTTTCTGCGTGGCCGTTCAAATGTCTCACAGAAGGCACATTAGCGTATTCGGATCCGGGATTAGAATCAATGGAACCCACATCCGATCTGAAAATACGTTTTGTAAAATAAAGTGGTTGAAAAATAGAGCCACTTACCTAGCTCCAGGTGACATCCTAGTGAATCGCTCGTTCACGGGCTCAACATCGAAACACCGAACGGCGTAATCCGCAAAGTAGGACGCTTCTCGAGGGACTAATTAGCAAGTCGCCATATCTGTATTCAACAAGATTTTGAAAGGCACACTATCACTTCCGCCTTATTGTCCACACAACAATATAACTGAATCTGTCTGAACGTAGAAGATACCTTGTGGGTTGGTCGTCAGGCCAGTATTTGGTGCATTGTTGACGGTTCTTTTCGAACAAATTTGCGACCATGACAATCAATCTTGAGTCTTGTTCCCAGATCATTCGCCAAAAGTCCGCCACAGTTGTGTCAAGTGGGGCCTGCGCTGCGATGAAAAATTTGCGACCATTCCAACCCTAAATGAATTGGTTTCAACCACTGCACACAAGTTATTCGAACTGTCGAACATTTCACTTGTAATAATCAGTTGGCTGCGTTCATACTTAGCACCAGCGTCTTGAGCCTGCGACAGCTTTGTGGCGACTAGAAAAGTATGGACATTGATCCAAAGTTTGCAGGGACTGCTCACGATAAGATCAAGAACTACCCGCGAAAAGGAAAAAAAGCTCGGAGCGCTAGACTGATGTCTATACTTTTCTAGTCGCTCAAAACGGCCGTACACTAGATCGATACCTATACTTTTCCCAGTCGCTCGAAACGCTCGCATACGCCGGCGTACGCCAAAAACGCTGCCGTACGTTGACGTCCACTAGATCGATGCCTGTACTTTCCAAGTCGTTCGAAACAAAACGCGGGCGTACGCTCGAGACCCACAGAACGCTGACGCGAAGTGTGAATATAACCTAGACCATGTTTACAGTTCGCGGTAACTGTTGAGCTATCGCTTGAGACACGCGATCAAAGTGATCTTGTCTCGGGAACCGCTAGATCGACACATATCTGGATCACATGGCGTTCAGCAGGGAGTCGCGAACTATGAACGCAGTCTCAAAGAGAATTTTGAAAAAAAAAACATGAGTGGGAACGAACCCTTATCATGTTTGCGTTGATGTAGTCCGTGGTTTCATCATCGTTTATCACGCGTAGCTTTACACGAGTCGCATCGAAGGCACGTATGTCATTATACCTGCAAACATAAAAAATGTAGCCCTCCTGCAGTGGTAAAAACGCTCAAAACGCTGGTGGACGCTCGAAATGCTGAGGCAAAGCATGAACCATCCAGGAGGAGTGGAAATGATAGCTCTGACATTTTTTAATCACATCCTGAGTAGTTTGCCAATGTATTCGAAAATGACAGTTAAATCCATGTTATACTAGGAAACATTTCGCACATCCACCTTGACTTAACGACCTCATGAAAGCCAACTTTCATAATTTACATACCTATTCTTACAAGCGTTCTCTTTTCGAGCACTAGCAACTGCGTCGAGCTTATAATGGGGAAGTGCCTAAAGAAATCCATACTAGACACTCCATGATCAGAATAAAGCAGGCAGAAATAAGTTGCCGTACACTCATATTCTTGAGGCAAAAGAAAGTCCGAATCTCGGTGCCTCATGAGATATTCGGAAGGCAAATCGTCAACGGCTATCGCGTGGTAGGTAGATGGGCGAAGAAGAGTTCGTTCGGCACCCATCGACGACTGCTTTGACATCCACAGCCAGTGACACCATTGTGAGATCTCGCCACGTCTGAAGTATTACTGAGTCTGATGGCTTCGCCATGAAGTAATAAGCAGTATCAACTGTACAGTTGCGCAGCATGGCAGATCTGGCCTTGCATGGAGAAGTGCAAGAATCAGAATAAAGCTTGCTTGCCCCTAACTATTCAAACCTATGGCATACATACCTGTGTAATACAAACAGTCCCATAACAGTAGCCATCGTCAGGAATGCCAGCAGCGGCACAAGCACAGTGAAAAACGCTCCAAGCATACTTCTTTCTGAAATTCGTCCACAGATTGTATCAAGATACAAACACCACTAAGGAAGAGTTTAGGTAATAATTACCGTCTTCAGGCTCCAAGAAAACCGGTTTGAAATAACCACTGAAACCATACGCTGGACCACTTAGGTGGAGCTGACGGTAAGCACGTGGTCGCATGGGATCCAGACTAAAAATATAACCCACGATATGGAGCAAAACCAAAAGTATCAGTCAGATAGCGAATTCATCTCTCACATTCTGCTGTAGTGCGCTCCCCCTTGAACCTCATCCTTGTCGTCTTTGTCAACCCTCACTATGAGGAAACCTGTGTATTTCAACCCTGGTCGCAAAACCACATCTTCTGCCTTGTATCGACTCAGGTACCTAAAGAAAGCAAGCTTATTCCCCTCAGTTAGCATGAGAACACACTAGCTACTCACAGCACGCTGCAAGGTTTCATCCCAGATACACCACGACCGTCTCCAATAACTGTATCCACGGGATAGTCGGTGTAGCTTTCAGCGATGTACGCAAAGAATCTTTTCTTTTCAGCTGCCAAAGCATTCAGGTTGTTATTGAACGCCTGCAAATCATTATAATTAATTAAGGCAGCAGGCATGATTGCTGGGGGCGGGCGGTTGTCTTCAATGTCATTGGTGGAAGGGCTTAGCAGGGTATAGACAAACACCTTTCCACCAATGACTCGGACAACAACTGCCCGCCTCGCTCCACTGCATTCAAGTATGCAGTATTAGAGATCCTTAAAAGTTCGCTATCAAAATCGATCCAGAAATTAAAAAAACCAAATGAATCACCTTGGACACCGTATCCATCACAATTTCTTGTGGGGGTGGAAGCGTTTCCAAAGACACATTCCTCAGCAATGGAACAATGCCAATATAATAGCAGCTAAATGGAATGTAAATGGAATACAGTTAGTCTAAACTACGCTGTATAGCAATAACTCAACCTCTTTCATGTCCTGCCAACTACAGGCCAATTAGCCTGACCTCAATCTTTGCCAGAGTCTTTGAAAAAATCATCAAAAAGTACTTGCTTGACCACATGGAAAAGAATCACATTCTAACTGCATTTCATCATGGCTTTTGCAGCGGTAGGTCTATTGAAACCTCTCTACTCAGCTGTGTAAATGACTGGTCCAAAGCTCTCGATCAAAGGAAAAATGTGGACGTAATTTACTTTGACTTCATTAAGGCCTTCGATAGGATACCACATAATGTGCTAATTCATAAACTTGTTCATTTGGGTTTCCATCCACTGGTTGTTAAGTGGATCCAGGATTTTCTGGATAACAGAACATTTCAAGTTAGGGTCGGGGACTCGTTATCAACTGTGCGTGAGGCATGCAGTGGTGTACCTCAGGGAGGTGTGCTCTCCCCCGTCGTTGTCGAGTGTACCTGTCAACATTTTCACAGCAGATCTGCCGGATGTTCTGTCCAATCCAGGTGTTTCATGCAATTTATATGCTGATGATATCAAGATTTATAAAGTTGTTCAAGATGTTGAATCAGACTGTTCACTACAACTAGCAATCAATAAGATGGTGGATTGGTCCAAGGCTAATGGTTTGCTCATATCTTTGGATAAAACCCAAGTGATGCGTTTGGGAGAGCATCAGTTGAATCCCAAGTACTCAGTTGTGACTGAAGTCCTGAGGTCCGTAGAGGAAGTTCGAGATCTTGGGTTTCTATATGACTACAAGTTGAACTTTAGCAAGCATTATAAGGCTCTAGTGGGAAAGGGCTTGCGGAGAATCTTCAATATTTTCAAAGCACTTAGAACTAAGGACACCAGCTTGCTGTTACGAACTTATAAACTTTACGTTCGCCCTATTTTGGAATGCGGGACAACAGTTTTCAATCCCCACCTGAAAAAGGACATAAAGGCTCTAGAAAGTGTACAGAACAGTTTTACTCGTAAGTTAATGCTCAGATGTTCGGGGCTTAGCTATTCCAGTATTCCTTCTGGCTCTGTTAGGAATTCCACCTACGGTCTCAAATCATTGGAATGGAGGAGGAAAAGATATGACTTACTTATGACCTTCAAAATTGTGAGGAACTTGGTTAAATTAAATGTTCATGACTTTTTCAGTGTGTTGCCAGCTAGTACAAGGGGAGCTTCGTTTAGATTGACTGTAACCACTGCTAAATCTAGATATCGGTCGAAGTTCTTTAGTAGTAGAGTGTGCTCCTATTTCAACTGTCTGTTACGTTCTAATATATTTCCTTCTAAGTATGCCACTTTCAAGAAATATGTTGGTGAGTATGTTTAAATGATCTTACATTATCAATGTTTTACCTATTTGCTGGGTTTCGTTATGTTTGTTTTTCTTGTTGTTTAACATGTGTGTGACATGATCCAATAAATAAATCTCCGCGCTCCTACACATATGAGAAATACCTTATTGGTCCATTAGTATCATCGGGTTTCGACTTGAAGGCCAAATTGAACGATGTGTGATTGGCATTCGTGGATGTTACTGGTTTTTCCACCTGTAGAAAATCACGTATTAATACAAAATACTTGCTATTCAATGTAGAAAAAGAACACATCTAACACAAACCACAATCAGGTTGAGGCATAGTTGGTGATGCAATGCTTCGGAAAAACCAGCGGTGAAGAACGACCGGCTGAATTCTCTGCCCATACGGTGATCGTATAATTCCGGTTAGGCTAAACCAATTCTCTAAGATTCCTCTACAGAAAGCCTTAAAGGCAGTTGGCACGATGGTTCGTACTTAGCCTAAAATGCTAGTGGCCCGTATACGTGGGGAAATGGGCGAAGAACGGAGAAACGGTCAAAAGTCCTGGCAAAGGAAAAGTCTCCAGTTCTCAGTGACCTTGTAAAATCGTTCGGACGAGTTCCCCGTAGGCATCTTACCAATCACCGCTACCGCATATGTGTACCCATATATGCATGCAGCATCACGGCCGCTTCATACCAATCCCTTCGCTTCATAATTTGCTCAGCAAATGAATGAATACGAGCGTCAGGAACGGTCGTCCATTTGTGGGCGGGCGGGCGTGGCGGACGTTTGGGAATGTTGTGGCTTGATAGGGCCCTTATAAGGGCACCTT